AAAAACCCCTCAAAAAAAAAAAAAAAAAAAAAAAAAAGAGAGAGAGAGAAAGAAAAGAAAAATGGTTTGGTAGAAGAAGAAAAAAATGATCTGAAGTAGTTTAAGGGAAAGGGAAAACAGGATTTTTAATTATGGAAGCAAAAGAGGAGGAGCCAATAAAGACAGGTGGAAGACAATGACTGAGTGGAGAAGTTTCTTATACACATAGCTCCTTACTCCCCCTTCCTCCCTCATTCCTTCCTAATTATACCATCCTATTTTGGAGAGAAAACACATATCACCTGATGGAATTCTACCCATCTCCCTGAGAATAATTCTTTGAGCATAGGTAGTCCTTAAAGGCACAGAAGGTAATTGGTATTAGTCAATAATCTTTTATATTTACCACTCAAAAACCGACAACTTTTTGTTAGATTTAGCATTCAAGAGAAAAATAATGAGCAACCTCTACCTTTTTTTTTCCCTTTTTCTGGAGAAGTTTTTTTTTTTTTGCTATAGGGCGCGTGCGCTCGCCAGACAGACAGAGACAGAGAGACAGCGAGAAATCACCCCCCAGGGGGGATGGTCACACCGCAGTCCCTTCTCCTCCATTCTCCTCTTGGGATCTTGGGCACGCACGCACATGCGCCCGGCATGAGTTTTAAGCCACCAGGTCCGGGATGTGAACCGCGGTCAACTACGTGGGAGTCCAACGACATAGCCATTACGCAACTGCTGGTTCCCTACCTTCTTGAAGTTTAAATTCCAGTTGGAGGACACAATTAGCCAAGACTAGAGGTAGAGTAAAAACAAACATTCAATTCTGTGGTATGCTGTAGCACAGCAGTGACAAACAAAACAAAGCCAAACAATGAAGACTATGGCCCATCTGCTGTAGCACAGCAGTAGAGCAATGCTCTGTGGGCTGAAGGCCAGTGGAAGGTCAAGTTCAGTTTCTGGATTGACCTGTATATGCCAGATGGGTTTGGCTGGCTGGGAAATGCTAGGGGGTAGGAGGAATCATGATATAACACGCCACTGAGGGTGCTTGTCTTTCTGTCACATGAAAGAAATAAAATTTTAAAAAAAGAACTGAAATAATTGGGCAAAATTTCAAAGAAGAGGTAAGCATTAAACCTTAGTAAAAAGACCCACAAGATATGGATTCACATACAAAAAGAAAAAGTGTCAAGCCTTCTCTTTTTATGGACGTGATTGGTGGTATCTTAGGCAAAGAATGTCTTGAATACTATGCATGGTGTGGCTCCGGAAACATATTTCCCAGAGATACAAAGGCATATATGAAAATGGATCTGTTGCCTTCCCTTTACACACAATGCTCTTGGTTCTGGGTTCTTTTGTTTTCTGCATTTAGTAAAAAGAAAAATGGATGAGACTATGTATATGTCAGGCAAGAGAAAAACCACTAGAGCTAGCAAAGTAAATTAAAAAAAGATGAAAACTGAAAGTTATATAGGTCAAGATTAGAAAATACGAAGTTTCAAATTCCTAGGAGATACAGGCAGATGGCAAGTTGGGTCTTGCTCAGGCAGTTGGTCTAAGGAAGTGCTTGTTAAATTTGCAGTTCCCTGTGACCTAGTTAATTTTGATTCAGTAGGCCTAAAACGAGGCCTGAAATTCTGCACATTTAGTAAACTCTGAGTGATATCAAACTGCTGATTTATGCAGGCCACAGTTTTATTAGCATGGATCTAAGAGATATAGGCAACCAAATAATTTTCTTCGCTTTTCCATTTCAGAACAAAAATGTTAAAGTAAATGGGAAATTTTCATAAATAAAAAGGTTTAACTTATAAATACCTGAGAACTGTAGTTTCATATTATTCTCTTAAAAAGCTTTTAAGAATGGACTGGCTTGCAGCTGACAGGTGGTATGGTGGTTTAATGTGCTGGATTCCCACATGTTCGACAATGGTTCAAGTCCCAGGCCTGGTGGCTTGCTTTCTCACTTTCTCTTTCTGTCTGGTCAAATTAAAAAATAATAATGACAAATGGAATTAAATAAATAAATAATTCTTTAAGAAGAAAAGAATGAGCTGGCTCTGTGGCACAGCAGTAATATACTCCTCAAGGAAGCTGGATCCCACACGGCAACCACGGTTTGAATCCCTGGCCTGTCTGGCCTAAAATGTGTCAGGTACACATGCGAGGGCTCAATAGCTGAAAGGCTGGAGGACTAGGGGGAGGGGATTACAGTATAACCAAACCATGTGAAAGGTGCTCATCTCTCTCATATGTACACACGTGCTCTGTCGTGAATAAGCAAAATAAATTATTTTTTAAACCTCTTAGAAAAAATAATTTTGGGATTTCCAGAAAATGAGTGTAGATGCATACACACATTTGTTAACAATGATTATATCACACTGTTAATTTTACATTACTGTTTATATACTTCAATTTACTAGAGTCATCTTAGTGTCAGTTAACAAAAGGGATTCAACTTGGTACACAATGCTGACTTCATTTTCAGGCCAACAATATACATCGAGTTCAGACTTGCCTAGCTGATATCTGTGAGGTCTGTTTCCATGACAAGAGTAAGTTCTAGTAAGTTCTGAACTAGATCAGGAGATACTGGGTTACCTCTAGTCTCCAAAGGGCATAAATAATTCTGTTATGGAAATAAGATTGTAACACAGCTACTGACGTGAAAGCCTTGGGAAAGAAAAAGCCTAAATGTTGCAGAAAAATATTATTCTAAAACATGTTGGAATCCCTACTTTGGCTATCTATACACAAGGAAAATTTGTTTCTTAATTGGCATGTGCGCTTGCCAGAGAGGGACACAGATGCAGGGAAAGGGAGAAAACAGTGGGGCATGATCAGATTGAAATCCCTTTTCCTCCATTTCTCCACCCTGTCAGAATTTGGGGCATGCGCGCGCGTGCACACACACACACGCGCGTGCACGCGCGCCTAGTGTATTTCTCAAGCTGTCAGGTCCTGGACTTGAACTATGTGGTCAGTCACGTGAGATCCAGCTCCTTTAACCACCTGGCAAGGTGCTAGCTCTTATATGTAGTACTTTTGAAAGCAAATTACTTATATATTTCTGATCCTAAAATAATAATACAAAATTTAGAAGATCAACGGTTAACAAACTATAGCTTGGAACCAGCAGTTAGCGTAATAGCTATGTCGCTGGACTCCCACGTAGTCGACCGCGGTTCGCGTCCCGGACCCGGTGGCTTAAAACTCACGCCGGGCGCGTGTGCGTGCGTGCCCAAGATCCTGAGAGGAGAATGGAGGAGAAGGGATTGCGGCATGACCATCCCCCCTGGGGGGTGATTTCTCACTTTCTGTCTCTAATGTCTCTCTCTGTCTGGCGAGTGCACGCGCCCTACAGCAAAAATCTCTCAAAAAAACCCAAGAAAACAAAAAACTATAGCTCATAGGGCAGATCTGACCTTTGACCTATTTATAGCCCCTTTATTAAAAATAGTTTTTATATCTTCCTGTGGCCTAAAAAGTCTAAAACACTTAGCATGTAGCTCTTTTAATCCTACTTTTGATCTATGAAAGGATAATGCTAAATAGGAAAACAATACATACATGTACATACATATTTCAGTTTCTTACTCCTGAACATTTAAAAAATATTTTCTCTTGTGGCTTCAAACTTAAAAATTGAACACACTAATCAGATCTGTTATTATTTATGTTATTAAATAATAACTGCTATCTAAACTGCTACTTCAAGATAATTTATCCTTCCAAGAGTCATTTGTATTGGATATTAGCATTTTTAATCCCCCCCCCCCAAAATCTCCAGACTGTTGTCCCCATAGTAATTGCTTCAAATCTCTATACTGCAGGCTAGATAAGAATGAACTAGCCTGAGATATAAGACATGTATGAATTACTATCTTTGATTTTGTATGATGCTATCCTTGGAACACAGGAAAAAGTTCAACCACAGGGAGTTGTCCTGGTTTTGCCATTCACTGTTCATTTTAACTTTAGACAATCAGTAATGCTTTTCCTCTTACCAGTGCTTTGTCTGCGGGAGTGGTGAGCCGACTGTAGTAATGAATCCTCTTGTTCATGGCAGAGGCATGGTCACTAACCCTCTGAATGACATCATTCACATTGACGATGTTTGTGGGCTCTATATAGAAAGGCCTAGAGAAGGGAATATACACTTGACAAAACACGTTCAGCCAAAAATTCTGGAAGTCAGCCATTGGAGAAAATAACTTCTTGTCCTCCATTAGAAATGGGTGCACAAAGGCAAGGCATTCACTTCTCACTTTTGGTGGGGGAAAAAATGTAATAAAAGAAGTATTATCCTATTCACACAATAAAGCTTTTGTTTCATAACACTTTTAAACAGACTCTTTAATCTTACAAAATTTAGTGAAAGGAAATAGAAAAACTTAAATCAATTATTAAAAAGAAATATAGCAGCTGTCAGTTTCAAATGATAAAATTTAGAATAAGCTTTGAATAGTCTCTCAAAAAGCTTTTGGCACTAAATCAGTGAAATTAAAGACAAAAATGTCCAAAGAGTTCCTACTCTGTCTTTACGGGCCAAAGTCACTGCCTATGATAAACAAAAGTCCTAGTTCTTTGTTCATGTGCTAAGAATAAGTGATCTCAATCATCTCCCTTGTAAGACATACCCAAAGTAGCATCAAATTGCGTATCAGGACAGTAGAGACATTTTGACTCATTCTATTTTCTTGGTTTCCATCAACATACCCTATAATCCTATTATTTATGTGTATGTGTCCTTCCCATGACTATGTCCCAGTCAACTGCTGATTTTCAATCATCAGTTGAGTCATCCCCTTCCGTTCCTTTCTAAAACTCTCTCATTTGTTCTCAAAGCTTCCAATAACCTATCCCAAAAAGGAAAGACCAAACAGAGTTGCATGAAAGGAATATATTCTTCTGCTGATCCTCAGACATCTTGAAGTCACAAATGATTGTGTCCCAAACTGTATATAATTTGCCATTTCAGATTTTATACATCTCCAAGTAATGAAAAAAGTAAGCAAGCAAGCTAGCCAGGAGATTAAGCATTGGTTCCATGTAACTCCTCTGCACTCCTGATTCTAAAAGAAGCTTAAAATTTATTAAGCTGTGGTAATCATTTCTGCAGACACTGTTAATCTAAATACCAAATGACTAAAAATTTAATTTCTGCTATTTTTCAAGTAACTAATTATTTGAGAAATGGCAGTATAGATGTTAAATTTAGTCTTGTCTCTCAACTCAGCACATAGAATTCTGAATCCTTTATTATGTACTCTCTAGCACAGCACCTAAATGGGCATTATCTAGTTCAATTCAATGAATATCTACATAGAGTACTTATTGTGGCAAATATGTGGATATAGAGCTCAACATGACATTTTACACACACACACACACATATGTATGTTTTTTTTTTTTTTTAAACTAGAGGGTATGCATGCTCGCCAGAGAGACAGAGAGGTGGAAAGGAGAAAGCAACCCCATGGGGAACGGTCATGCTGCAATCTCTTCTCCACTTCTCCCTTCTTTGGGTGTATGCACACACCTGGGGTGTTTCTCAAGGCACTAGGCCCAGAACTCGAACCCTATTGTTGGTTGTGTGGAATCTGGCTGCCTTAGCCACCAGTCCATGGAGCTGGCGCAGACATATTATATATATTAAAGGTATAATTCCTAAATGAATTAAGCGGTATCAATAAATTTCAAGGGGGATATAATGAATTGGCCAGAGGCTTAATAAACAGACCCTACTTATAAATTTGATAGCATGATATGACTACCAGTCCTCCCAAAGCATTACAATGTCTTATATAATTTACATCTCTGAAACTCTGTGGTATTAAAAAGCAATATAAAAATATTTACATCTGGAAATAGTTTAATCATACCTAGGGTCACACTCTATAGAGCAGTCTCTTTGCTTTGCAAGAATGATGGCCCATGAAATTGAAGAAAGAATTACAGCTTTAGTGCTAACATAAGGCAGAGATTAAAACTAATCATAGATTACTAAAAGAGACTGACCAGCAAGATAATGATAGAAAAAAATGGAGGTGTTCTTGTAGCTTTTTGCTCTGAAAATTCAATGGTATTAATGTCAAACACTGAGCTGGTTTGAAGGGCTGCTGAAAAGCAGTCCAGGAAGTGCTAAATTTCTTGGCTCCTGGCCTTTTACAGAAGTGTTAACTGTACCAGTTCAGTTGGCTTGAATATTCTTAGAGCAGAATGACTCTGAAAGTTTTTCTTTTCCAACAGTTTTCATCAAGATGCTGACTGCCCATTTCAACAAAGAGTTTGGAATCTTTTCAAAACAGATTCTCTAAAAAAAATGTACAACTCAGCATATTTAACTGATTATTAGAAACATATGCTGAAAGCTTCATTTAAGAGTAAAAAATTATAAATTACACTTCTAAATTGAACTCTATTTGGATCTGAAAACAAGTATAAAACAATACAATACAGAGAAGAAGAATAGTGAGAATAAAGGAAGTTTTTGGAACTTGGGTCTTTTTCTTTTGAACAGTTTCACATGACTGGCCCCTATCAATGCTATTTCCTATTTGAAATGCAGTTCAACCATGCCATACTGAAATAAAGAAATTATATTTGTTTCACCTTATAAATATTTATAGTTAATGCCACAAGGAAAAATGTTTTTAGTAATAAATGAAATTTAAAAATATTTTAAAATGTGACTCAAACCTTGTTTTCATTTAATACACTTATAAACAGAGAAACTTTATTTCTACCTAACACCTTTTCTAGGTTCCACTCCTTAAATTCCTTAAAATTTTTTTAGCTTTTAAATATCTCTCCACCCTTCCACTGGCCAGTTACGATTCTCTGAAGTTTAGTAATAATTCCAAGACTCTTGAGAAGGTTTATACTCAACATGGAAATCCTTGGCTTAAAACTGTCCACTTGTTTATATCCTTGAGACACTTAAACACCTGATAGGTTAGGACAGTTTGTTAAAAAGTGAAAAAGAAATCAGGTTAAAAAAAATCTCATGCAAATAAACATTCAAAACAATGAACCGACTATACTTGTTTCTACTTGCTCAGTAAAACGCTGCATGCCTGCCAGTCAGCTTTTCAATAAAAAAGATGAAAAAGAAACTAACCAGGTTATTGTACTTAGAAATTTCTTGCTGCTATAGAAAAACATTAGTAATTTCTGGCTTACTGACATGTTTTTTGCTTCTTCTGAAACCTAGATAACACTCTCTTAAAAATAAAAGTTCTAGGGAACCAGCAGTTAGCGTAATGGCTATGTCGCTGGACTCCCACGTAGTCGACTGCGGTTCGCATCCCAGACCCGGTGGCTTAAAACTCATGCCGGGTGTATGTGCATGCGTGCCCAAGATCCCAAGAGGAGAATGGAGGAGAAGGGACTGCGGCGTGACCATCCCACCTGGGGTGTGATTTCTCGCTTTCTGTCTCTCTGTCTCTGTCTGTCTTGCGAGTGCACATGCCCTATAGCAAAAACCTCTCAAAAAAAAAAAAAAAGTTCTAAACTCCAATTTTAATCGTTATCACCAAAGGTTAGGTCTATTTAAAGTATTTCTCTATTTTAGCTAATTATAATAATTTGCATTGGTTCTTGAATTTATTAAATAAATATTTAAATGCCAACCACAAATCAAGTTTGTACTAATATTAAATAATGGCCAAGATGGGAGGCTGTGTCTGGCTCCCACTCTCACAGCCATCGCAGTACATAGAGCTCCATAGAGACAGTGCTGGGACAAGTGAGAGCCGGACGGGCACTGGGCTCTCACGGAGGAAAGATAACTAAACATGAGCAAAGGAGATCCTAAGAAGCCGAGAGACAAAATGTCATCATATACATTCTTTGTGCAAACTTGCTGGGAGGAGCACAAGAAGCAGCACCCAGATGCGTCGGTCAACTTCTCAGAGTTTTCTAAGAAGTGCTCAGAGAGGTGGAAGACCATGTCTGCTAACGAGAAAGCAAAGTTCGAAGATACGGCAAAGGTGGACAAGGCCCGTTATGAAAGAGAAACGAAAACCTATGTTCCTCCTAATGGGGAAACAAAAAAGTTCAAGGATCCCAATGCACCCAAGATGCCTCCTTCAGTCTTTTTCTTGTTATGTTCTGAATATCACCCAAAAACCAAAGAGCACATCCTGGACTTTCCATTGTGATGTTGCAAAGAAACTGGGAGAGATGTGGAATAACACTGCTGCAGATGATAAACAGCCTTATGAAAAGAAGGCTGCTAAGCTGAAGGAAAAATACGAAAAGGATATTGCTGCATACCGAGCTAAAGGAAAGCCTGATGCAGCAAAAAAGAGAGTTGTCAAGGCTGAAAAGAGCAAGAAAAACAAAGAGGAGGAGGAAAATGAAGAAGATGAAGATGAGGAAGAGGAAGATGAAGAGGATGAAGATGAAGAAGAAGATGATGATGATGATGAATAAGTTGGTTCTAGTGCAGTTTTCTTTTTCTTGTCTATAAAGCATTTAACCTCCCTGTGGGACCAGCAGTTAGCATAATGTCTATGTTGCTGTGCTCCCATGTAGCCGACCATGGTTCGTCCTGGACCCTGTGGCTTAAACTCATGCCGGGCGCGTGTGCACGCGTGTCCAAGATCCCGAGAGGAGAATGGAGGAGAAGGGATTGTAACGTGGCCATCCCCCCTGGGAGGCGGCTTCTCACTTTCTGTCTCTCTGTCTTTCTCTGTCATTCTGGCTCACGCATGTGCCTTATAGCAAAAACTTCTCCAAAAAAACTGTTAAAGCATTTAACTTCCCTGTCCACAACTCATTCCTTTTAAAGAAAAAAACTGAAATGTAAAGCTGTGTAAGATTTATTTTTAAACTGTACAGTGTCATTTTTTTGTATAGTTGACACACTACCAAATGTGTCTTTAGATAGCCCTGTCCTGGTGGTATTTTCAATAGCTGCTAAACTTGCCTGGTACAGTATGGGGGTTGTAAATTGGCATGGAAAGTTAAAGTAGGTCCTTGTTGCACAGCACAAATTAGATATATGTGGGGATGGTAGTTTTTTCATCTTCAGTTGTCTCCGATGCAGCTTATATGAAATAATTGTTGTTCTATTAACTGAATACCACTCTGTAATTGCAAAAAAAAAAAAAAAAAAAAAAAAAAAAAGTAAGAAGTTGCAGCTCTTTTGTTGACATTCTGAATACTTCCAAGTAAATACAATTTTTTTTATTAAAAAAAATAATGACTAAGATGCAAAACCTCAAAAATCGCATCATGGGGGGAACCAGCAGTTAGCGT